GACCCTGTTGTTTTTTTAATGAATAGCAGTTAATGCAACGAAAGACAGAGGGCGAATCTCATCGGCAGTCAATGTCAAAGCTTGGTTTCAACTGACCGCTTCGGGGAGCTTCGTTTATCTTTGATATCCGAGCAGTTATCTGTCGATCCCATAGATGGCGTCATCGCCATCTATGGAATGTGTTGTACACTGAGGAGTTATGGGTTCCTTCCGATGTTGATTTATTGTTCTTGAAAAATTAAGACACGTTATTGTTATCATTTTATATTCTATAATGTTTATATCATCATATTGGAATCAAAAGAAAACTCAAAATTCACTCATCTTAGGTGAATGTTATAATTACACTAACACATTCAAAATTGGGGTATACAATTCGTGAATACATTTTAAAACGAATTGATAAAACTGTGATACAAAAGACAAATGACAACACATAATAATAAAGCACACAAAAATATGTTCATTGGAAACACACAAATTACAACAAGCTGTAATAGATAATTTTAAAATCTATCACAAAACAAACAACTTATGATCAAATAATCATATATCATATATATTTTCAAGTACCAGAATTATATTATCTCCATTGCTAATAATTCAATAGATTGATAATACTTTGAGAAGAAGAAAAAGATACACGAAAGTCCTAATAGAAGTCTGCTTTGTCAATTAGAAATCGCTTTCTGTTTTCCTGTGCAGTTTGCACCGCAATTGAAAAACTGTACCCTTATTGAAAAAAAATCATTTTGTTTATTGAACTACTTTTAGATATCAAATTTGCACTTTTCTGTTGTAGGCCGAAATTCTATCTCACAATATTGTTGAAACATTAAGAGCAGCAAATGAACATTCATGTACAATGTGGCACCAAATTACAAAAATTAATTTGTATTTTTAAAGACCACAAGTTAAATCTTTAGCACACATAGAAAGAGGGATTTTTTTCACCTACCTGTATACTATCTAACATTTTTTCTGCTCTGGAGAACTCATCAACCCAAAGAGGTTTTTCATCATGGTTTTTCCTTAAGTCTGCAAATGTCTGTACACTGTCTGTTGGTAAACAATGAAATACTTTTTCATAGAATTCAGTATTCAAGCTTGCTGTTTTGTACCAAATATCTCTGTAGAAATAATTGGAAATCGGATCTGTAATATCAAAGTTGAAGGCGTCATTTTGTTGATCAAGAGTACCCAAGTGTTCTTTGAAAAGGTATTTTCTAAGACTACCAGCGAATTTTCCAGAAGGAAAGGCTTTGCCGTCCATTAGGCCATCCTCGAAAGTTTCATCCTGGATAGAATAATAATAATAATAATTCTTTATTGCCACAAAGTACAGTGCAAGCAAGATTATGAAGCAAAAATAACAGTTCTTTCTGATTGAGAATATACTTCTGAATGATAGTTTCGCGAAATAGCAGGAGAACCAAAAAAAATCGAACTGATATTCCGTGAAAAATAAAATAGTACCATTATCTTTTCTAATGGCGGTAAAGGTTTTCAATGGTCCAAAACTGGTTAATCTACAAATTCTCCTAGTCTTGATATTTAATAAATTTCATTACTTTCAAGTTTCAATATCGTTTGTATCAAAATTTTCCAAAATATATTTGTGAAACTCTATAATTCATAGTTTTAAAGTTATTATGGTTTTTTTAATTCATAAAAAAAAATTGAAGTGAAAAATTTTATTTTCCATTTCAAGTAGGTAGATAAAACTTTCTTACTAAGGTTTAAAATTTATGTTAATTGAATGTGGAGAAAATCAGAAAACACTGAAATTTGTCTGCTGCTATTAAAATAATTCATCAAAACGTTGAATAATTAATTAAGAGTCATTTTTGCAATGATGTTTTCGAAAACTGAATCAATTATATTCTGAAGGTTTTTTGTTATGTGTTTGTGTATTTGATGTGTGTAATAATATTTTTCTATACTTCATAATATTGTTCTGTCAATAAAAAATATTCTTTGAAGGAAAAAGTACATTTTGAATAGAACCTATAAACAGAAATTCAGTTACCTCAATCAGAACCGCAACTTCAGAATCCCTCTTGCCGATCATGGATCTGTCATTAATGTTGGCAGAACCACAAATTACAATTTTGTCATCAACAATCATTAGTTTAGAGTGGACATAAATCAATTCGGTGATGGGTTCTGAATTCATCGTAGAATGATTTCTCAAACCATAAAACGTGATATATTCTGAAGGGTCTTCAATGCCTGCTTCTTTCAACCTATTCAAAATGGCGTCCTTGCCTCTGAAAATATAGATGAGGTCAAAAAAACTAATGCAAAAGTAATATAAGGGGAATAAAAGAGGAATATCAATTGTGTAGATAGAGATTCATTATAGTTAGAAATGAATATATCTGTCCAAACAACTTACTGGGATATTGAAACATAATTCCAGTGAGTGATGGCATGTAAAGATGTTCCTGAGGCACCCCCAACTTCTCCTTCGAACCCTGGTAGAAGTGGCATGATTACAAATACTCGAAAGACTGCTTTGGCTCTATTATATCATACAAAAAATTATTTCCTGAATAGCAGTTATTTGTACATAATACAATTATTAGAATTTATACAGGATCAAGATAAGACGTTTTTGGCCTTTATATTAATTCTGTAGTAATTTTTATAACAATGGAAATGAAGACTACTAAAAACCCTGTATAGTTGTATAATGAAAGATAATCTGACTACAAAAAGGTACATTCAAATGATTTTTTACTTTTTGTATTCATCATGAACCTTAACATCAAAACTTTTTTTGCTATAGTTGAATCACAAATGGCATTTGAATTTGGTGGTCATTTTGTTGTAAGTAAATTTGTTCCATGTATCATTCATTCAAACAAAAGTTATAAATTTTGAAGAAGTGATTTGAAAAAAATTTAATATCCAAAACAAGCATTTTTCCCAATCTCATTTCATATATAACATGATATACACATCTAAGATATCGGGCGGAAATTTTTTCGTGAAGGAATACAGGTTGCTTGGAATGGGACCCTTGTCACTGTTTATAGCTCTCATGCAACACTTCGCTATTTCCATATTTTGGAAAGCATCGAAAAATCTAGTGTACATATACTCAACAATTTCAGACAGTTTCCATTTATTCTACAATTGTTCTTCTAGGCGTTTTGTGTGACACTAGATTTATCTGGTCATTGAAATGGGATATGCGCTGGGTGTTCTTTGAAACGAGTTTTGATGGCTCGCTTAGTTCGACCTATATATTTTTTGTCACAGTCCTCACAGCTTATTTCATATATCTCCAACTTTTCATTTTTTAACATCTTTTCTTTAGGATAACCTGACATTTGTTGAAGTAACCTCTTAGAGACCGGCCATAGAATGAATGACATCTGCCTGAAATTGTTGAGATCGTTACATGACACTAGATTTTTGGATGCTTTTGAAAGTCTGGAAATACCTAAGTGTAGCATGAGGACTATGAACACTGACATAGGTCTCATTACAAGTCCATTGTATTCCTTTTTATGAATAACTTTATTAAAATTTGAGGAAACTTTCACGAGAAAATTCACTCACACTCTGTTGAAATTTGTGGGAACTTTTACTATAAAATTTACGGCTGATCTCCACCCGAAATCATTGATTTGTATCGGAAAGTGAAAGTGTTTTATTAGAGTTCAGAATTAGTCTTTTTCATCTCCTGAAGACGCCAACTTGTTAACTTGTTTGGGGTGAAACGCGCGCCAAGAAGAGTATTGCATTTCTGGTGATTGGGAAAAGTGCTTGTTTTAGATTTTTCTACAATAGAGATTCCAGTTTTACCTTTCATTAAAGTTTTATAGAGAAAAAGTGACATATGAAGCAGGTTGCTCAGTTGTCATCTCTAAGGCGTATTGGCGCACAAAGATTTAAATTGAAATGACGATTTTTCAAAAACCGAAAATTTCGAAAGGCCTAAATTCCCGGTTGTAACAGAACCTCGCCTCCGCATAAAATGAATCTCCGCATCTGCCTCAGCAAGTTATTTAACGGAGTTTTAATGGAGTTATATTTATGAAAAACCTGCAAAACTGTTGTTTCTAAATTACAATTCACCTTTGAGGTGCCAATGCTTCTTGATATTTTTTGGTTTTTTAACCTTCTAAAATATGAAAAATGCATAAATCTATATCAATATAAGAGAAACACGACGTGTTTCTCTTAAATTCAAACAAATGGAATATATCAGAGAAAGTTTGAGGTCAGCTGAGAACCCCATAAAATATTTAGCAACATCCGGGGAATACCAGATTCTCTATAGCTGCGGGTTGGAATCACGAAAAGAAGTATAGATATCCGTCTCTCTGAACACAAGAGAAATTGACTCTTCGGACAAACCGACGAATCAGTTGTTGCCGAACATGGTTTAAGCTTTCTACTTCTCCATCATGATACAAAACAATGTGGGAATCTTCCAAAGAAGGGTAGAAAGCAATTTTAAAATAAACTCTACTGAGATGTGTTGATCATTCAAAGAAGTAACTTTCAGACTAAAATCCTTTCTTTCCCAAAAATGTATCTTTCAGCATACTGAGTACTCACTACCTTTGAACAAAGTTTCAGCTTGTTTGGACAAAAATCGTGTTTCTATAAGAGATGTGTTGCATCCTTCGTATAATTTAATTATCAGAGAACAATTTTAAAAAGTTATGGAGGAGTTATTCTCAGATGATACAGAAAAAAACTTGTCCTCAAACTGAGAATACATAATATCTCATTCAGCTCTTCAATTCAATAAATACTTTGATAAATTATTATTGATAACTGAATTCAATTACCACAATCTCTTTTTCAAAGGCATTATTTGATTTTAACAGTCTGGCCTTCACTTCTTCACTTCAATGAGGTATTGGGATTTCATATCCCAGCTGTTACTTTTCAGTAATAACAATTGGGTTTTCATTTGTTTCACTAGAAACATTGAATATAAAAATATTGAATGACAAAAATGTACCTTTGTAGTCAGACTTTTTCGACTTTGATGAAAAGTATTTGAAAAAATCAATATATTAAAATAATTGTTATGAATATTTTTATAAAGAAATAAGTACCAAAGAGTATATTGAAAAATATACTTACTTATAGGCTCTCACTATTCTCTTATACAAAGCCTCGCCTATTTGATTTTTGGTGAAAGGATTGTTACAGGAGAGAGAAATGAAAAACTGGTTTTCGATGTAAATATAGTGTTGAGCTCTGGTTATTGCATCAATATAAGCCTCGTGAATACTTTGTTCAACAGTATCTGGTTCAAAAAATCCACATGACCAACAACTTACACTTCGAAGTACCTGCAAAAATTATGCAAATCAATTGTTGCTACGATGCAGGATTGCTTGAACAGTATTTGAGTAGATAAATAATATAAGTATAATAAGTTGACGAGTTAACGATGAACCAGCTGAAGAATAAAAAATCCAGTGATCTAGAACAGTAAAGGTTATCAAATATGTGATTCCAACAATATCTGAAGTTCTAGACTTGTAAATCAGTCTGTATTGGAGAGTCTTTCCTGAAGTTTTTAAAACTTTCAAGATCATACCCATTCATAAAAAGAGTTCACATGATGATACTAAAAATTATCGACAGATATCATTACGACAGATTACATTACAAACTTATGGAAAAAATTGTATTAACTAGAATCACTGATTATAAAAATGTAAGATTCATCAACAATATTTTAGAGAATCTAGACCAACTGAAACAGCTACAGCCAGTTTGAGTTTATCTACAAAGAAATTGATAAGTTCAAAGATGTAGTATCAATTTTATTTGACCTGGCAAAAACATTTAATTCTGTGAGTAATGATATAATGGTTGGTAATTATATATTGTTGGCATTAGAGGATTTTTCCTTGTTTGGATTCAACCATTTATGCCTGATAGGAAGATGACAGGTACTCAGATGATACTACCATAACAGTTTCCGGTTAGAGTTGGAAGATAACATTATTTCGGCCGTGGGTGATACGAGCAAAACAGTCGTTGAGAAAGGCATTGAAACTATAACATTCAACTATATGTTGATCATGTTTGAAAAAAACTCAATCAAGCGATATTTGCAGTGCATCAGATTAAAACAGTACTTAGCTTAGATGGTGTTAAAGCTGTGTACAGCTTGTCAAAACTAGGAAAAAACTTGAGAATTATAAGTCTCTCTCTCTCGCAGTCTCCTTCTCTGGAAAATGTCGATTCATCTAAATAATTTTATTAAAAAAATGGATCTTCTTGAATGTGTATCAACATTTCACATAATTCAACTCTCTGTTGAGGGTCTTGAGGCTTCATTGCTTGAATTTTGGTGAATTTATTATCATACATTTTGTCTTCGCAAGATTCTTTGAACCGATGAATACTTTATACCCAAATATTCTTCAGTACTTCTTATAGATGACCCAGGAAATGCGTGAGAACATGCTAAGACATTAATCTGGTTGTCTTCAGAAGTTACGGGTCGAGGCAAGTTTTTTGATCCTTTTAAAGACGATCCAAATGCATAGAAATTGTTCTGAATTCGTATAAATTTCTTGAGGTTCATTGGCGGTAGATTCGGATACATTTCATTGAACTTTCTACATATCCTTCTGATAATTTTATCACACTGTCCAAAAATAATAAACACAGTCATGAGAACTTTGTTTGAATAGTTTTGTTCCATCGTTTTGAAACTTCTGAAGTGACGGAAATATCAATGATATTAGTAGAATGTCACAACGTTACTGTCAAATAGTAATCATGGCCTGTTTACAAAATACCGAGTGGGAATACCGTTCTGAAGGGACAGTTTCACAAATGAATGCTCGCATAAGTTCGAAACTTGACTAGTTAGGTATACACATTTCAAATAATCAACTTTCAGTCACATTTTCAAATTAACGAAAACACACTGTATTGAAGGTAATGAAAAATAAAAATATCTTGATAAAACTTAGTTTCCATTAAAACTTCAACAACACTTGATTGGTCCTCAATTTCAGTACATCGATGTATTCGGGATTGATTTCCCTTCAAAATGATGTATCACAAATATAGTAGTGCCATTGAAAATTCTGAAGTAAGGGGTGCTGAGGATAAGAGGGTTGACAAGAAAATAATAATGTATTTGGTTAGTGTTACCCCTTGAAATAAAAATCGACGGGTCTGAGAGTTTTTCAATTTTTTTCGCGAGATCACAGATTAGGGGAGTGACAAGTTTTAGCTAGGACACATTGTATACACTGTGTCCAAGATAAGAATGAACAGCATGGGGATATCGGAAACGGTAAGTGATACGGGGTCGATTGAATTAGAGAAAAGTAGCGCATTTATGTGTCTAATAATAAGCCTTTCAGAAAGTTTCAATATTCCGAGTAGTTTTGGAGATATCCGAGAAAAACCGAAATTTGTGAATTTCGTTTTGTCTTTTAGAAAACATCTACTTTTTATTTTTATATGGGACGAAACTAAAGTATACCCTGTATACCACTCCATTTTTCATTGTGAATACAACAATGTTCCACACAATATAATTTCATAACCATTTCTCACGCAAAATAAAAAGTGATTACTTAACATGCTTTTCTGCATATTTTGATACATAAAGAAAATTGATTAGTCTCATTTATCCCCGTATCACTTACCGTTTCTGATATCCCCATGCTGTTCATTCTTATCTTGGACACAGGTATATACTGAACCTTAGACAGGAATCACTTGATCACAATTATGCAATAAGAAGCAGGAAATGATTTGTTTTACCATTTTACCAATTTAGGTATTAGGCATCGCAGTTTTTCTATGATATAGGAAATGTGATGGTCCTATTTCGAATACTTATCTACCATTACACCTATATTTTTGATACTCGTTTTCAAAAGTTATTATTTCACTATTAGTTTTTTTTTGTTTCTTTCATTTCTCTTTCGTGATATAAAGATTTTTTGAATTATGATAGTTTATAGAAGCTCAAGTGTTAATTTTTTGGCAATTAAGTATAGATTGATTTTGAAACAAGTTCATCATAACAATTCATATTAATTGAGATAATATCTTAATTTATCTTCAGATCACTGCAAAGTAGAAACTCACCTGACAGGTAACTTTATGTGTCTTATTTGGAAAATTGATAGGAAGAGTCTTATACACTCCATAACTCTTGGGTAACAAATATGGAATCTGATCGTTATTTTTGGCTTTATCCACCTTGGTGGCATTCCACCTCTGAATGAAATGTCGAGACACATCACGGGCTGCATCACCCAGTACACATGTGGCGATATCATGCCAAGGCATCCGTGGAGTGGTAACCCTGTAAAAAATATATGAACTTCAAACAATGTAAAGCTTGTCAAAACTAGGAAGAGACTTGAGAATTCCATCCCTCTTTATCTGTCTCACACAGCCTCCTAACGCACGTGCATCTCAGGGGAGGTCCTAAGCCGAGACTTTGAAGTCGCTTCATAGATTTGACAAGCTTTATATGTTCAGTGAAACGTTCCTGTACAAGTTAATGAGTTTTTCCGACTCCCAATTATATATCTTTAATGTGTTATTCATATGTATATAAATAATATGATTAACATTTCATTTTTCTTGCAATTTTTTTCAAGCACTGTGACCTACCATAAATGTATTTATACTGAACATGGTTAATTAAATAGAATGCTTCTCTATTCTACTCGTCTATACGTTGCCTTCCTTATTTTCAGATAGTTGCAGTGCTGTCACTTTTCTCATTAAATATTACTAATATTACAGTTTTCAAATATAAGTCAATATTTGAATAAATTTGTCAAAATTGAAAAAATACAAAACAAGCATATCTCTCAATCACCAGAACTGCAATACTCTTCTTGATGCGCGTTCCACCAACTAAGTTCGCTGGGAGGTATGTGATGGAAATGGTTGATAACTTATTCAATTAACACTTTATTGTGAGATTTCCCCTAGACAGTTTAAAAAACTGTAACACGTGTTTTGCCACACGATAGCTTTATCAAGCATTTTCATAGAAACTAAATTCTACTTAATCTATGCTTCAAGTAATAACAATGACCTTCTACCTAGATAATGACTAACAATTTAACCTCTGGCCTGGAGGGCAATGAGTCTGCTGACTCCCTTGCAAAGGAGGATGCTGCAAGCAGCTTCATCGGACCAGAATCTGTCATTGGATCCGCTTTAGGCTTTGCCAAACAAAGATTGAACACCTGGATGGCAAGAAGAATTATGGATTTCTGGCAGAATCTTCCAGGACTGGCTCACTCCAAGGCGTTTATTCACCCTTCGAAGCTTGATACCAAACAGTTGTTGGACTACAGTAGGGATGAACTAAGATGTCTAACAGGCCTTCTTACTGGTCATTTAAATCATCATATGCAGAGACTAGGACTGTCGGAAGGCAGTGTTAGTCACCTCTGTTTGGAAAATGATGAAACAGCAGAGCANGTTTTATCTTTGAACTACCCAGTTTTGACATATTTTATGACAAATAATAAATTGATTTTTTCAAGTCAACTTCATACACATTTTAAATTTTTTTTCTTGAGATACTGATTTTACGAAATTCTGGAACATTTCTCCAAGAATATTATATTTTTTTTTTCTCATCAGGATTTATGTAAGATTTTCTCAAAAAAAAAACGATCGGATACTATATTTTTGACCTCTTTATGATGTTTTGTTGAGAAAAAGTATTCTTCGATGATTCCAGTGAAAAAAATTGTGATTGTTTTAATGCTTTCAGGGTGTTTTGAAGATTTCCTGGAAGCTTCAGCATGGCCAAATGGAAGCCATTTGGTTAGCGAATGAATGTTGGTTAGATCCTAACTCTGGGATGATGGCAGTTCCCTTGCTAAGAATCGAATGTTAAAAGGTAAAACATTGTTAATCCTCAACTAACACAAGTATTTTTTACATTTATCACATACCCCATCATACTTCAAATTTTTGTCATATTAAAAATTATCGTAATGCTTAGAAAAATTAAATTATTTTTAGACTTTTTATAGATTTAACTTTAATGATACAATTCCGACAAACAAAGCAGAGAAAACAGGATTTTTTAAGATAAGGGCTAGTTTAACCTTTTTATTTTCATATTTCATAAAAATATACCTTTTCGTTGATATCTCTGCTTTTCATGGATTACTAATTACACTTTTAAACAAATATCGAAACCATATTAGTTAAAAAACGAAGTTAAACTTAAAACAATTAGAATACCTGTCAATAAAATCGTCAAACGGGGAATCCAGATTGGTGAAATCCTTAACGATAAAGTTGACATAATCCTTACCAATCCATAATTTGGCCGACCCATCAAGGCTTTCTATAATCTGATCAGGAGTTTGCAAATCCTGTTGCTTGATTTCCTCTTCAGGGGTTTGATTTTCGACAGCATCTACCTATTGATGAATTCTTTTGTAGTAATAATATAAATGAGCATATAATTTGACCATTAGAACTCAAAGGATCTTTCATTACAATTAATGTTAACAATATAATAGTATTTTACCTAGATAAAAATCTAAATTCACAATATCAAGTTATGTTAGCCCAACAACACAGAATTTTGAACTTGAATTAGACAATACTTCTTAGAATAACAATTGACACATTTACTTTGATTTCAATGATTATTCAAACGATTTTTAGAGTTTCTTCTAACCATTAAACATGATTTTAATGATGAATAAGTTCAAACAAAACCTTCAATCATTTTTTAAACGTGTGCTCGCCTGAATATAGTTAAAGGTGAATTTATTGATATGTTACATGGATGTCAGGGAGTTAATAACACAGGTTAATGATCATAGTTTTCGATGCCGAAGACACCGAAAAATTTTCATATTACTTTCATCAACTATTTTTTTAATAATTTTTGATGAACATGTATTTCCAAAACAAAACATGGACACATGGTTTATTTTTTTGACGTACTTCACTCAATATTCAGATATGACCCTTACAGACTTTTGAACAAAAAGACATTTGCCAACCAGCAATAATCAAAATAAAATTAGGTCAAAATTAAAGCAGTGTTAGGTTGTATCGCAAAACTTTTCAGATAGCTTCTGAGATGAAAATGTTCTGAAAGTTCGTTTCCTTCTGAACTCTTTCACTTTCTTTTGTTTTACCTCTAAGATTTTTTTTTCATACATTTTTGAAAGGTATGTGTCATACAGGAATAACACCTAGACATTAGTCCTTCAGACTAGGATCTGACTATTAGGGATTGACTCAACTGGCAACTAATGAACCCCTTTAATTTTTTTTTCAATTTTTTGTTTATATTCCTCAACTCCTATGGTCATTTTCAGGAAAGTAGCTCAATAATATCCGAAAAATGTAAGAAACTAACATTGTTTCAGTCATTTTGGCACCAAGAACTCCGGTAGAGTTATTCAAGCTGCCTCTCTTTCAATTTCAACAGACTGGTGCCTGATGTCACACAGGACTAGTACGAATTTAATTCATTTCCTCGTTTGTTGAATAAAATAAACTAAAGGTAAACACCGAAACAAATGAATCGTTCTTCAAATCATAAGTCATATAATAATATGTGTGATTAATAACTTGTTTACTTTATGGTAATTCATGATCACTTAAATGAAATTAATAAAAACGCTTTTTGTCTAAGTACCACTAGTAAATTTTATTTATACGACCGGTTTCGGGTTTGACCCCATTATCAAGTATAAAACTGAAATCTGAATTTTGAAATATCGATTTCATTAGAATTTTCAGGTTTGCTTCAGGTTGAGTCAACAACTGTTGAATTTTATTTCTATAGACATCGATTTAGATTTTCTTTTGAAATCATTATTTTAGATAATGGGTGAATAGGATAAGCGTATCCAACCAAAGTTATGATTTTTTGAATATTACACCCAGTATATAAATACACCATTCGTTTCCACACTTTTTAAGCTTTCTGGGGATTTTTTATTTTTGAATGTCCGTTGCGGCATTCCAAAAAAAATTGCAGACTATTCAAAAAAAAAAAACTCCCGTACACCTACAGCAATTCGGCGAAAACTTTTGAAAATATTTAGTCAGAATCAATATCACCATTGCTGGTATTTCGAGTTTTGTAAACGATATATGGGTTACTTGATAAAACCTCTCGTTTTATCCTTTACCAACATAATAATAATAATTCATCCTTTTGAACAAAATACTTGT